AAGCAGTCCAACCACTACAAGACTCTCCAGGAATATGCTGATTTCCTTGTCTTCAATCCTGGGATGGAAGCTATGGACCTCAGATATATCAACTGCTTTCCTACAAGGTCTACCACAAGAACGGAAGATCTGGATTCGTCTTCCTGCGGATGCTCTGGCCCTACTTGGCTGTGGACCTGAAACGAGGATGCTTCTCCGAAAGCCTTGCTATGGGCAGTTGGATGCTCCCAGACGATGGTGGCTGGAAGCATGTCGACGACTCAAAGCCCTTGGACTTCGTCAGCACTTGCTGGACCCTTGCTGCTTCCTTGTGTATGCCCAGGACTTTGAAGAGCTCTATGGCCCTGACTCTGAGGCGAAGAAGCCCTTCCTGGACAGTGGTTTGGTTGGAATGATATGCCTACACGTTGATGACATGCTTGGATGCGGTGATGAAACTTCCAAGATCTACTGCAAGGTGATTGAAGAGCTGCGCAACACCTTCTCCTTCAGAGAATGGAAAGATGGAGACTCCTTGGAATACTGCGGTGCCACCATGACCAAAAGCCCTGATGGCACGAACAAGCTCCACCACAAGGAGTACCTGCACAAGGTGAAACCTATGACCTTGCCCCGCTTGGGTCCTGAACATGAGATGTCCCAATCGGAGGAGATTCAACTTAGAGGGTTACTTGGTTCTCTTCAATGGCCTGCCGTCCAAAGCAGTCCTCATCTACAAGCGAGCACTTCGGTTTACTCTGGCAGTGTCTCAAAAGGCCTTCTCAAGACTGCCATGGATACGAACCGCCTCCTCAAGTTTGCCAAGGAGAACAGTGATGTGGGTTTGACTTTTCCCCCGCTTGGCCCTGTTGAAGACCTTCGGATGATCACTGCATTTGATGCTTCATTTTGCAGCAGACCTGATGGTACTTCACAGGGTGGTTACTTTGTTTTGTTGGCCCCAAAGCATGTGCTCGAAACGAGCGAGGATGTGTACCACATCTTGGATTGGAAATCCTTCAAGCTGCCGAGAGTTGCTCGTAGCTCTCTTTCTGCTGAAGCTCAGTCAGCAGGATGTGCAGCCGATGCCACCGAGTTCGCCTGCCGGTACTATGAACATCTTCTCCAACCTGATGTTCCTCTGGTGACTTTGCTCAACTTGAAGTCGCGGTTGGCACCAACTATGGTTACTGATGCAAAGGCGCTCTTTGATTCATATCACCGAGAGAGCCTGGTGTCAAATGTGACCGACAGAAGGTCGTCCTTGGAGATCCGAGTCGTGAAGGAGCAGATCTCTGGACTTGGAGGTGGACTCCGATGGGTGTCATCAGACCGTCAGCTGGCAGACGGTTTGACCAAGGACAGCATGCGCCAACAGTTGGCCGACAAGCTGCGCCACGGGAGGATCAAATTTCTTTATGATCCAAACTATGTGGCAGCGAAAAAGAAAACCTTGGAGGAGAAGAAACAGGAATTGGAATCAACTACGAAAAGCCGAAACTTCAAGCGCAAGAAGCCGCAGTCAGAGCTGCGAATCATCAAGGAGGAGCTGGAAACTTCTCAAGATGCCGAGATGGTTGAAAATGACCTGGTGCCAACAAATGCCCTGGTCTCTGAATTTGAGCAGGTGTCAACGAATGACCTGCCCTCACAGAATGCCCAAGCTTCAAAGAATGACCTGACCCCAAAGAATGCCCAAGTTACAACGAATGACTTGGCCCCACAGTATGACAAGGTCCCTGCCGAGACCTACTTTGCACAGTCCACAGAGCCCCTGGTTTATGTGGACATGGTACAGAATGCCCTGGCGCCCTTGGCGATGGATCGACCGATGAGATGCTGGTGGAAGATCTATGAGATTGTCTTCAAGCTGGCGATGGTGGTGTGGATGCTATCAAGCATTCCTGGAGCAGAAGCCTCTGCCCCTGTGTGCCTGACCGACTCCACGGAGGTGAAGATGCAAAGTTCAAAGGACGATACGTCCATCTTCGTGGGAGCGGCCATTTTGGCCCTATGCTGCGCTGGCCTCTATGCCTGGAAACTTCGAGCTGAACAGTTTCGACTCCGATGTCGAATCGGCACCTTGGAGGACGAGCTGAACCGTGGCAACCACCGTTCCAATGCTCTGGTGGTGATGTACGATGAGCTTCGGGGTTCCTACGACCGCCGAACCACTGCCTATGATCGAGCCCGCAGAGCTTTCGTGGATCAGCGAGCTGCAGCTGCCGAACTTCAAGGAGCTCTGGCGCTGGCGACACAAGATCTTGGAGCTGGATACCAAGCCCAAATGGATCTGAGACAGCATTCACAACGCTGTCCCCTGGGCGACGAGATCCACATCCAGGATGGAAGCTCAGTATGGCATCGCGATGATGAATGCGATGAGCTGTACAATAGCGGCCGTGAGATTAGGATTTTCCAGCCGTGTGCAATTTGCTCGCGACAAGATTTAGTGGTTCCAGGCGATGACGCCATGCAGTTTTTCGATGAACATGGGACGAGAGTTGTGAACGCACCAATTGGGATGCAGTTCAATTAAGGGATTGGCACAAAGCACTTCCCCCTGTGTGAAGTTGCATGCCTTGCACCTTTCCCCATGTTCATGTTTCACTCTGGCCTACCGCCACTATCTGGCCCAGGGTGGGCGCGTACGACCAAACAAATGGCTTCGCTGGCCTGAAAAGGCATTTCTTTGCTGCTGCGGCCTGGCACTTCGTGCGGCTGGGCTTGGAGCTAGGCGTGACTATCCTGGCTTTTGCATTGGTAGCGGAGCCAACGATCTGTTGGCCCTGGCTATCTGATCCAAGTGCTGGACTTCCTACTGAATACCAACGGCCATAAGACCTTCCAGCACCTGATTTGGATCACGGAATTCGAGGGTACGGACTTCCTAAGGAATGTCTACTGCCGCTACATCACCGGAGAGCCCTACACAGCGCGACTCCTACATCCCTGTGTTCACGGGACAGCCGGCTGACTATCGAGAATGGAGGAAAAGAATACAGCTGTACCATGCAAAGATGGCCCTTAGCAACCGCCGTGGTGAAGCAGTCATCAACTTGGTGAGCACGTGGACTGGCGCTGCATGGCGCTTGATGGAAGACTTCGACGTGACGACAGCTGAGAAGGAAGGAACTTTCGATGGCATCCTGAAGATCCTGAGAAGTTGACGTTGATAGAAGGAAGTTGATTGATAGAAAAGGCATATTAATGTGATAGAGACAAGTTGATAGAGAGAAGTTGACGTTGATAGAAGGAAGTTGATTGATAGAAAAGGCAGATTAATGTGATAGAGACAAGTTGATAGAGAGAAGTTGACGTTGATAGAAGGAAGTTGATTGATAGAAAAGGCAAATGAATGTGATAGAGACAAGTTGATGAGAGAAGTTGACGTTGATAGAAGGAAGTTGATTGATAGAAAAGGCAAATGAATGTGATAGAGACAAGTTGATGGAGAGAAGTTGACGTTGATAGAAGGAAGTTGGTTGATAGAAAAGGCAGATTAATGTGATAGAGACAAGTTGATAGAGAGAAGTTGACGTTGATAGAAGGAAGTTGATTGATAGAAAAGGCAGATTAATGTGATAGAGACAAGTTGATAGAGAGAAGTTGACGTTGATAGAAGGAAGTTGATTGATAGAAAAGGCAGATTAATGTGATAGAGACAAGTTGATAGAGAGAAGTTGACGTTGATAGAAGGAAGTTGAGTTGATAGAAAAGGCAAATGAATGTGATAGAGACAAGTTGATGGGGAGAAGTTGACGTTGATAGAAGGGAGTTGATTGATAGAAAAGGCATATTAATGTGATAGAGACAAGTTGATAGAGAGAAGTTGACGTTGATAGAAGGAAGTTGATTGATAGAAAAGGCAAATGAATGTGATAGAGACAAGTTGATGGAGAGAAGTTGACGTTGATAGAAGGAAGTTGGTTGATAGAAAAGGCAGATTAATGTGATAGAGACAAGTTGATAGAGAGAAGTTGACGTTGATAGAAGGAAGTTGATTGATAGAAAAGGCAGATTAATGTGATAGAGACAAGTTGATAGAGAGAAGTTGACGTTGATAGAAGGAAGTTGATTGATAGAAAAGGCATATTAATGTGATAGAGACAAGTTGATAGAGAGAAGTTGACGTTGATAGAAGGAAGTTGATTGATAGAAAAGGCAAATGAATGTGATAGAGACATAGAGAGAAGTTGACGTTGATAGAAGGAAGTTGATTGATAGAAAAGGCAAATGAATGTGATAGAGACAAGTTGATGGAGGAAGTTGATTGATAGAAAAGGCAGATTAATGTGATAGAGAGAAGTTGACGTTGATAGAAGGAAGTTGATTGATAGAAAAGGCAGATTAATGTGATACTGGGAGAGACAAGTTGATAGAGAGAAGTTGACGTTGATAGAAGGAAGTTGATTGATAGAAAAGGCAAATGAATGTGATAGAGACAAGTTGATAGAGAGAAGTTGACGTTGATAGAAGGAAGTTGATTGATAGAAATGCATATTAATGTGATAGAGACAAGTTGATAGAGAGAAGTTGACGTTGATAGAAGGAAGTTGATTGATAGAAAAGGCAAATGAATGTGATAGAGACAAGTTGATGGAGATAAGTTGACGTTGATAGAAGAGAGACAAGTTGATGGAGAGAAGAAGACGTTGATAGAAGGAAGTTGATTGATAGAAAAGGCAGATTAATGTGATAAAGACAAGTTGATAGAGAGAAGTTGATTGTTGATGCACTAGAGATAAGTTGACAAGACAAGTTGACAGAAGGAAGTTGATTGATAGATTGATAGAGAAAGACGGCGGAAGGACGAGGGCGAGGACCCCACATAGTGATGTGGGGAAAAAAATCCGAACCTTTTCACAGGTGAAAAGCCACGAGAACAATGCAAATTAATCGTTACCCAACTCCTTCTAGCAGATTCTGGTTTCTATTGAAAACTCTCAATTCTGCGATATAGCATTAAAAAGCACTAAATTCGTTTAATTTCCAAGTTCAACCCAATTCTGCAAGGCCACTCGAGGAACCTATTCCGCCGCCGCCGACGCCTCTCTCGCCGTTGCTCCCGTCGCTGCTGCCTCCTTTGCTCAGGGGTAAAAACTGGGGAAGATGTTGTCGACGAACTGCCTGATGGATCTGTGCCCGATGGGGCAGATGTGGACACAGTGCCCGATGGGGAAGATGTCGATGGAATGCCAGATGTCGACAAACTGCCTGATGGATCTGTGCCCGATGGGGCAGATGTGGACACAGTGCCCGATGGGGAAGATGTCAATGGAATGCCAGATGTCGACGAACTGCCTGATGGATCTGTGCCCGATGGGGCAGATGTGGACACAGTGCCCGATGTGGAAGATGTCGACAGAGTGGTTGGTGTGATCGGCCTAAGGAGTCTGATATCTTTTTCAGTTTTGTAGAAAGGCGACAAACCAAAGTTGCATTCAATTAAATCCCCACATAGGACAGGGCAGCCGCCGCAAGTCGTGCAATTAAAGCCAGTAACTTGCTCATCTTCACAGTACGGGCAGTCACACGCGCGATTCTCTCCTGAGTTTTGCGTTGCAGGCAATCACACTGGTTTCCTTTTGTATGCATGGTGTTTTCTGCTGTGGGTGGGTTGACAAGAGTACTAAGCACTGAACAGAGGCCAGAGACTCTATAGCATAATTTTTAAAAACATGTTACAAAATGTTACGTACAAAAATGATCAAAAATGCACATAAGGGGTAAATGTTTCAAAGATAATTCCCCATTCCAGGTCTCTGTTTGAGATCTCGATTTTGAACTCTGGCGTCAGTGGGCAAGGCCATTCCTCTATTGGAGGTTCACACTCGCCGAATTTTTCTGTGCAATTGGCAGATTCACCGCACCTGGTTGGGCATGCACCACATGTCGAACAATTTAGGCCGGCTTCATCGTCGCAATCTGGGCAGTCGCAGGCGCCGTTGTTCACCACGTCACCAGAAAGCCACCAGCCACTATTGCATTGAAAGGCACTGTCCCATTCCTCCATGGGCAGATCGAAATCGCAATGCTTGTGCGTGCCATTCATTTGCCCGATTTCGAAGCAGGAGATGCTATCGCCACACTTCTGGGGGCACAATCCCGCAAATTTACATATGCCACAATCATTGACATTTGCCTGGCGCTGCCGCGAGCTGCCATATCAAAGATAAGCCAAGCCGGCGTCAGAAAGAAAAACAAGTCAGCGGGGTACAGGGAGTCTTCGATGGCATGCGTATGATCAGTTTCATGATCCGATGTACAGACCTGTAGAGATAAGTAGATCGAGATTAGATTCAAGGGATGGGGCTGCTGACCGGATGTGCGTGAGGTGAGTGTGAGGGAGATAAATGAGATGCGAATGGAGTTGGAAAACAGAAGGATACCAGGACATCCCAGGACATCCCAGGATACTGAAACCAACGACAGCAGTTTTGTAGTGAAGAGGATTCTCAGCAAGATGAACGTGATGAAATCAACACGATGAAGGGAAAGGCTGTGAGATGAGTAGAGTATTGAAAGACGAGATGAGTTGAAGTGGCTTCAGGTCAGAATGAGCAAACATGCCAGAACTCATGGACCTGAGTTGAGCAGAGTTGTTGAATTGAGATGACTAGAGTAGAGGAAAGGCTAGATGAGACCTGTTGAGTGATAGGCAGGGAGGAGCGCAGGAGGATGCGGATGCTGCATCCAACTGAATGCCCAAAAAGCATCCGCAACATGTGGAACAAAGCCACGAACACAAAGCCTCTCAAACTCTCAAAGCCTCATGTAGCACATGTCTTTTGATGTCTGCTGATGCCTTTTGAACCGCAACTACAGCTGGCCTCATCTTCACATTCTGGACAATCACAATAGCCGTCATTCAGGAATGTGTCTGGAAGTAGCCACTCGTCGTCATAGCATATTTTCTCCAGGTGAATGTCCGAGTCAAACCAATCGTTAATGAAGGCAGCGCGCTTGCAATCTTGATAGGTCTCTGAAGGTTCCACATAGTCCTGTGATGCGGGGCCTAAACAGATTTCTTCCGAGGCCTAAGGACCAAATTGGATTGGGCCTAGAGAAATTGTTTACCAGCTGAAATGACACTTTCCATAGTTCCCCAAGCTCTGAGGGCTGGTTTTTGCCATCGAACAGCGTCCTCCTCACCGATTTCTGTTCTTAGCTCAAGCGAGTAGCCCAGGTAACATGGAATGTAATCCTCGCAGGGACACCAACTGCGACGCATCGATCGCATCGGACAGGTGAAGAAACAGGCTCCGATGGATTAATCAAATTTATTGAGTTCCCTATTTTGACTTAGGCCCAAATGCTGAAGTTTTGTAATATCGCCAAACCTCTTTCAAGTTTGGACTCCTGACAAATCACAGGGCAAGCCCCACATGTATCACACGTGTACAGCTCTTCATCTTCGCAACTTGGGCAATCGCAATAGCCATCGTTGATATAATCACTGTCGATGAAGAATCCTTCCACGCTTCCACCTTGGGTCTGTGAAGGGGCGCGTTGGGGGGCCCGGGCCACACACAATTGATATGGGCCTTGGGACCAAAGGATGGGGCGGATGGGGATTCAAAAATCCTTGAGGTCCTATATAATTGTACCGGATCGGAACCATGGTGTGGATGAATTTACGAGTTTGGTATAAGTAATGGTAATTACCTCGACTTGGAGATAAGTAAGGATTTCGCAACCACGGATTCCCAGACAAAGAAAAAGAAAGATATTTGAAGTCTAACGTGCTCCTTCTGCAAATGTCCTACCTGGGTCCTACCTGTTCTACCTGACGAAATGCAACAAACAAGTTTTGAAAATGCAGCACAAACCTTTTGAAAATGCAGCAAAATACAACAATCACGTGTGTGTGTGTGTCATATGTATCCCCAGTGTGTAATGATTTCGTTGAGCTTCAATAGAACGGTGTTGCAGTTTTGTCAATGAAGCAGGCTGGTTGATCGCCACATTTGGATTCGGCGCCGCAAGAAAGCGGGCACGAACCACAGGTCGTGCAATTCCAGCCGAAAAAATCAACCTGTTCATCCAAGCAGTCAGGGCAATCGCAGAAATCGTCCTTGGTACATCTTGATCCAGGAACACACTGCACATGATTCTGCTAAAAGCTGCACAGTTGCCATCCAACAAAGATCAAGCGTTTCCACAAGACAACTGAAGCCAAGCTAAAGGGTCATGGACATATCTGCCAGGGATGATCCAACCCTGCGAGCACGTGAATGAGGCATTGCGATTCGGGAAATCTGGATCGAACGAAAAGTCGCCAGGCTGGTACCTGAACTCATCATCAGACCAGACCTGCAGCCAAGAACCAGCCAAAGAGAAACTCAATACGACAGATATAGGAATTAAAAACATATGTTGTAGTATCCGATGATCTTCCCTATTAGGGCCCTTTTTGATGTTGTTTTTCAATGTGCGCAATACTCAAGGACATGGAGATATAGGCATATATAGGCGATATACGAAAGAACGGAGCATACACACTGGAAACATCTCCAACCGTGGAAATATGCAGCAAGACACGTCGTTACAGGTATTCGAGTTCGGAGGTACGGCAGGTTCTTCAATGAACCCAGCGGGTAGACCGTCGCACGGGAAACTATCGCCACAATTTGTTGGACAGCCACCGCAAGTGACACAGTCGTCATAAAGTTCATCGTCACAGTCGAGGCAATCGCAATAGCTATCGTTCCTGTCAGCAAAGTGTGATGGCAATTTTTGTGTTTTTCTATGTTTTTCTTTGGGTCCGGAATTGCTCGGGATTTTTCAGTTGTGTTTTTTCTTTTCTGTCCATTTTCGTTTTTTGCAGCATTTTGGAGCTGGAAACTGTTATTTCATATGATATGTGCAACATTGTCGACGTCAAATCAAACCTCTCATTTTTTTCTATCTGCGAAATTTCCAAGCTTTCGGGGAGATCCAGGTGCCAAAGTGTTTGTCAGTTTTCTTTTACCCTTACGCATTTTTGCAACGGTCATGCAGCCATTACAATGCGTTTTGCATCAGCACGTGCACATTCATTCAACACGTCACCACTTCCCTTTGTCACCATCCTTCGTCACCACCCTTCGTCATCACCCTTCGCCCTTCGCCATCACTTCCCTCAATCACCACCCTTCGTTGCCTTCTTTTGTGTGATGTATTGTTACTTCGTCATCACCCTGCGTCATCACTTCCCTCAAGCACCACCCTTCATTGCCTTCTTTTAAATTTATGTGATGTATATGTATTGCTATGTGATGTACTGTTGTGTGATGTAAAGTCTCACAATTCTGTTTGTCCGTAACTCGGAAGATTGCTTCCCAACTTCCTTTGATAAGCGTTTCAAATTTGAAACTTCCGCCCCCGGCTTGCCCGGGTACTACTTGTAAAAGTATGATGTTTCAAAGTAAACGGTTGTCACAGGAATGGGGTTGGATGGGTTTTGAATGGATGAATGGATTGATAGATGGATGGATGGGTGGATTGATGGATGGATGGATGGACGAATGGATGGACGGGTGTTTCAAATTCAGAAGGTCTTACAGTAGCCCGACACTCCAACGACCTTTCAATCCATCAGTGGGTTCGCTCTGCCGTCCATGATTCCCAACAACCCACCTCTCCTATAGGTTTCCTATCTTTGAAACTTCCGCCACCGCCTTATGCAGTACTACTTGTATGCATATCTGTAGAAGGTCCGTGTAGGTTCCCTGCGTCCACATCTTTGTTGGAAGTCTCTGTCAGCAGTCTCTAAACAAGATCTCTCTGCACGGTGTCTGCAAGAGATCGGTTGCTTGGAAAGATATCTTTCAAAGATCTCTATACAAGATCCCTGTACACGGTCTCCATGAGAGGTCTCTTGGCAAGATCGCTGTCGGAGATCTCTATACAAGATCTTTTGGCGAGATCTCTGCACAAGCTCTCTGCAAAAGGTATCTTGGCAAGATCTATGTAAGAGATTTCTTGCAAGAGCTCTCTGTACAAGGTCTCTATCAGAGATCTCCCAGGCAAGAGCTCTGAAAGATCTCTTTACAAGATTTCTGTACAAGGTCTCTGCAAGAGAGCTCTATTCAAGGTCTCTGTGCAAGATGAGGTCTCTAAGGAACATCTCTGTACAAGCTCTTTATAACAAGTCTCTTGGCAAGATATCTGTTACAAGATCTCTCCACAAGATCTCTATCAGAGATCTCCATGCAAGAATCCCTTGGCAATATCTGTAGGAGATCGCTTGGCAATATCTCTTTGAGAGATTTCTTGTCAAGAGCATCATCAGGCCATCGGATCAACGGATCAGCCATTGGATCATCGGATCAAGCAATCCAACGATCATAAGTTTCATAAGTTTTGTTTCAAGGTCTTTGTGGATTCATGTAGGCTTAAATTAAAATCTATTTAAGGCTGGTTTAGGATCCATTTAGGGTTGGTTCGTGTTTTATTTATGCGTGCTTTAAGATCTATTTAGGGTTGGTTTAGGATTAGGGGTGGCTTCAGGGTTTATTGAAGTTTGATTTAAGATCTTTTTGGATCTTGTTTAGGATCTATTTGAGGATTGTTTTGGGGTTGATTTACGCTTGGTTTTGGATCTATATATTTAGAATTGGTTTTGAAGGTTTGTGTAGGGTTGGTTTAGGGTTGGTTTAGGATCTATTTAGGCGTGGTTTAAAGTCTGTTTAAGGATGGTTTAGGAACTCTTTGAGGTTGGTTTAAGGTTTGTTTAGGGTTAGTTTCAAATTTTCTTATGGTGTGTTTAGGATTTACTTGGGTTTCCTTTAGTTTTTCTGGGTGTTGGTTTGGGGTTTATTTAGTGTTGATCCGACGCGAAGCGGCGCCCTAGTCAATTCTGCAGCTTCAAGCCGAAGAACTCCTTCTCCAAATCTCAAAAATTTTATCTTGCCTCTCCTCATCTTCTCCGCAACTTCCAGCCAGCATATCCTCTACTTATATAGGGGGATGTCGCCCCCGACCTCAATGTTAAAATTTAAAGTTTTTGAATACATATTTAGTATTGGGGGATTAGGGTCTTGAAATTTGAATACATATTTAGTATTGGGGGGAGGCTCCCAGAAGCTTACTAGAAGCTTACCAGAAGCCAGGAAGCCCCCAGAATCCTCCAGGAAGGGCCCCAGGAGCTTCCCAGAAAAGCCCCAGGAGCTTCCCAGAAACGTCCCAGAAGGCTTCCAGGAGCCTCCTCGAGGCTTCCGAACAGTTCCCAGAAGCCCCTAACAACTTTAAATTTTAACTTTTAAATTCTGAATTTTAAACTTCAAAATTTGAACTTGAGACTGTAAACTTTAAATTTTCGAAAGCTGCCGGAAGCCTCCCAAAAGCTTTCAAGCCTCTCAGAAAGTGCCCGCAAAGCTTCCCAGAAGCTTCCCAGAAAGGCTCCCGGAAGCGTACCGGGAGCTTACCAGACGCCAGGAAGCCCCCAGAATCCTCCAGGAAGGGCCCCGGGAGCCTCCCAGAAGAGCCCCAGGAGCTTCCCAGAAACGTCCCAGAAGGCTTCCAGGAGCCTCCTCGAGGCTTCCCGAACAGTTCCCAGAAGCCCCTAACAACTTTAAATTTTAACTTTTAAATTCTGAATTTTAAACTTCAAAATTTGAACTTGAGACTGTAAACTTTAAATTTTCGAAAGCTGCCGGAAGCTTCCCAAAAGCTTTCAAGCCTCTCAGAAAGTGCCTGCAAAGCTTCCCAGAAGCTTCCCAGAAAGGCTCCCGGAAGCTTCCCAGAAGCGTACCAGAAGCCAGGAAGCCCCCAGAATCCTCCAGGAAGGGCTCCGGGAGCTTCCCAGAAAAGCCCCAGGAGCTTCCCAGAAACGTCCCAGAAGGCTTCCAGGAGCCTCCTCGAGGCTTCCGAACAGTTCCCAGAAGCCCCTATCAACTTTAAATTTTAACTTTTAAATTCTGAATTTTAAACTTCAAAATTTGAACTTGAGACTGTAAACTTTAAATTTTCGAAAGCTGCCGGAAGCCTCCCAAAAGCTTTCAAGCCTCTCAGAAAGTGCCCGCAAAGCTTCCCAGAAGCTTCCCAGAAAGGCTCCCGGAAGCGTACCAGGAGCTTACCAGACGCCAGGAAGCCCCCAGAATCCTCCAGGAAGGGCCCCGGGAGCCTCCCAGAAGAGCCCCAGGAGCTTCCCAGAAACGTCCCAGAAGGCTTCCAGGAGCCTCCTCGAGGCTTCCGAACAGTTCCCAGAAGCCCCTAACAACTTTAAATTTTAACTTTTAAATTCTGAATTTTAAACTTCAAAATTTGAATTTGAGACTGTAAACTTTAAATTTTCGGAAGCTGCCGGAAGCCTCCCAAAAGCTTTCAAGCCTCTCAGAAAGTGCCGCAAAGCTTTCCAGAAGCTTCTCAGAAGGTTCCCGGCCAGAAGCCAGGAAGCCCCCATAACCTTCCAGGAAGGGGCCCAGGAGCCTCCCAGAAGAGCCCCAGGAGCTTCACAGAAGCGTCCCAGAAGGCCCCGGACGAACTTTTGCAGCCCCAAGATGAATTTGCAGCTTTTGGAAGCGACTGTGTGGGATTAAAAACCCCGCTTCGCGTCGCACAATGGCGCAAGCCCTAAAAGTTTAGGGTTGGTATTATAGGGTTAATTTATATGATGTTTCTTATAGGTATTATTTTTGAGAAACAAAACAAGCAGGTAAAAGCAGATTAGCAAGGAAAGAAAGGGGGAAAGCAAAGAGGCAAAGAAAGCAGAGAAAGGATGGGAAAGGCAGAAGAGGAGAAAGCAAATAGGCAAAGAAGCAGAAACGCACAGAAGAAAAGAAGCAGAGAAGCATTTTTTTCATTTCGCGCTTCGAAAGGGTCATCCCTTGCAGCGTAATGCACACAAATTAGAGGTTCTGGAAATCCGGCAACCATTGTGCCCCTGTACGGATTGGAGTGCTGGCCTTCGCAGCAAACTCAACCCATTCGTCCAGATCCTGGGCTGTATGGGGGACAGCACGTATCCTGTCGGAACCCAACAGCCGGCTGAATTGATTGGCAAAGGTGAAAGCCAATGCAAGGCAAAATCTTCCAGGATACTCCTTATGTCTGGAAGTGTTGAATTCGCCATTAGGATTTTTCCCAATAGCAGCGCTCGTCGGCTTAACCGCGTCACTAAAGGCCTTCTTGTATAGGTCACAGCGAAAAAACGGCATGGCCAGAGCTAATAAGCCCGTGGGTTTAACAGCTTCTGCACCCCGCTGGTACTGTGCAACGTGATGGAGTTGAAGTTCCGGCAACATCAGTAGTAACTGGACGATGGGGCTTGTCCAAATACTTGGTCTTGAAGCGTCAGCTGGCCGGGCAGGGTGTTCTGCAACGAACAGCCCGCCACACTGAATGTGGATGCAGAGGATCCAGATAGTTTGCAGGAAAAACGAACTTCCAACTGCACATTGCTTGAGTTCACGAAATGTCAAGCCTTCCAGGCCGAACAGTCTGTCAAAGGATCTGAGCGGCCGCGGCCAAAGCGTCTCTCCAGGAGGAGCCGGTGTATACCGGGCTTCGGAAAAGGTCTCGCAGGGTGGGCCACAAAGCGTGGCAGCCACCCTGCCGGACAAATACAATGCACTCAAGGTTTGCCAGGAAGTCGTACCAGTCATGAGATTACCATACTCAGTCGATACCGCAGTATCTAGTGATAGGATCACGACCTTCCAATTGCTGGTTTCCGCCAGCTGATGTAACGCTTGATGAAAATCTCCTTCACGTCTGCGACCGCTAAAGAGATGCACTACCAAAAACACCGGTTGTTCTTGTATGCTCTTATATCGAGGACAGAATGGAGTGACCGGCAAATCAAGGAAGGTGCATTGTCGCAAGTGTTGCAACCAAGCCTCCTGACAGCCATATGCTCGCGGCACAGGCTGGTATACCCTAGATGTGGTTTTTGGATGACGGAGAGCTCCCAGTCCACCATTGACAGCAGGTCGATGCGGCTCAGGTGGAGCCTCAACGCAGTGCTTCAAGCTAGACTCTAAAAACGAGATACGGCTGAGCACTTGATATCTGGGAAGCTCCGTAGCAAAGTCAGCATACAATTCATCAACGATTTGTTCAGCCTCTCCATCCAAAAATTCAGCAATAATCTCCGGCAACCAGTGGTCACCCCAGGCTAGGAAGACAAAGGCAAGCCAATTGTCCCATAATGGGTTGTTGTCAACAAAATCAATGCAGAGAATCTGAATCCAGGTATCAACCAAGTCTTGTTTGGCAGAGTCTGACGGGCCTAGCGGGAAATGCTCATGGAACCACTTCTGAGTGGCTTCCGATAAGGCGTCACCAATCCGAGCACCTCGATCCATGGCATGCTCCGGTTGGTCCTGGATGACCAGCTTAGCAAAACATTCATCCAGTTCCACTTGCCATGCTCGTCGCTGCTTATCAAGACAAGTCTGCTGCTCATGGCGTGGTCCCAAAGTGGGCAGAAACTCTCTGCGGGCAAGGCCAACAACCTGTTTAGGCATCTTCTCAGCAGTATATTCAACTTGTCGCCCTTGGGTGGAAAGGGCATGGAAGCATGGGTTATACCCAAGGCTCTTGGGTATGTAAGCTAAATGTTGCTGCAATCTTTGCGTGGTCCAACAGAACCTGCCACAATGCAAACAAATGGCCCCTTGGAGAAATGGTCGTTCAATAGAGAAAAGTTGGTGTTTACGTCTCTGATGTGCCAAGAGTCCTCGTCGAGACATGAAACTAGCCCCACAGAAACACGCATGACTGCAAGCCTCTGGCACAATGTGAAAGGGATCAGGCTTGAAAGTGGCCCCTGCCTGCTTCAAAACAGCGAAAGCCTGTCGATGGAGGTTAGCCACCTCTTCCATCGTCTGCTCTTGCATCTGATGCTTTCGTGCAACTGCTTTGACTTTGGACTTCCATGGGAATCCTTCCGTCTGCCAGGCTTCAATGAGATCGGTCAGATCCACTGACCAGCCCTCCGGCAAAACAGTGGGGTCGATATCCTGCATCCATTGTAAATCTGCTTTCAGTCCTGCCAACCATGGATCTGTGACTGTACTCTCTTCCAAATGAATCACATTTTGGAGAAAGAAAGGACCTACAGCAAAAACTCTCTGTGCATAGAGCAAACGATCAACTGCTAAACGTGCACGTACGTCCAGCATCTGAGCTTCGAGGAAAACTTGTTCATTACTCTGTGCCCATTTCTCGATCGGCAACCGTAGAATCTTCTTGAGGCAACGAGTGTAGAAGCCTGTGAGACGCTTCAGTTGCTTGGGTGTTGGGGTGTGCCAAGCACCAAGTCCGAAGAATAATTTGGACACAATTAAGGATTGAAACAGCTTCAGTCGGAGCCTTGTAGGCAAATGCCGGTTGGTCAAAAGTGGTCGGGACAAATGTGAAAATGCGGAGCCCGCAATACCAATGCGCATAGAAAGCTCACTTTCCAAACTGTGATCCGAAGCGAAAATAGTGCCCAAGTGCTTATAGACTGGAACAAAATGCAACCATGCTTCCGTTCCATCAGAGAAAACACAAGTGGCACCCGGCTTTGAAACCAATTGAAATTCTTTGCGCAATTCACTAGCACCCGACCCTCGAAAGGAAACAACTGCATTGGTTTTCCCTAAAGCAAAATTCAATGTGAATCCTCGATCATGCAAACAATCTCGTACTGCACAGAGAAGTTTGAGCAACAAAGGTACTAGGTGTTCAGGTTGGGATGTTGCAACAGGCACAGCAATGTCATCCGCCCAAAGAATGCTGGGAAAGGTGTCCACTTCACCGGGAAAAACCGGTGAATGCACGGAGTGCTGCACAATCCATTCGTCAATATCTTTGGCCACGGACGTCATCAAAATGTGGAAGACAATGTCTGCTAATGGACTTCCTGGTCGAGTCCCTCTTCTTGTGTGGAGATATTGCTGACAAGGGAGGGAGCACCATGTCTCAGCATGAATGTCGCAAACCAATCTCACCAAAGTAGATGGGGCTCCTAAATCAGCTAAGAGTCCTGGAAGATGACAAGCAGCATTCAGCTTGGCAGTCGGGTGTCCTGTGCTTTTCAAGACATCAAGGACCGCATCCAGATTTTGCGACGAAGAAACCCCTGTTACAAGTTCCCTCACAAGATGATGGAACGCATTGGAAAGGTCAAGGAAAAGGACTGCACTGCTCACTCGCCGCGCATCAGCAATGGTACCAAAGATGCGTAACGCCTGTGAACCGAACATAACCTGCTGCCCAGGGAATCCACCTAACTGACCAGGTGCCTTGGCATGCTCCAAATGACTCATAATCCTCTGGCGCAGGACTGAGTGTGTGCGTTTGGCCATGTTTCCTAACAGCAGGATGCCTCGAAATTGCTGGGCAGTTGTTGGAGCCAAGCATTTCGGAATGATAGCAACTGGTCCACCCTTATATGGGAGCGGTTCCATCTGCCATACAAATTCTTTCAGCAACAAATCATGATACCCTGCCGCAAGCGGGCAGGCAGCCAAGTGGAATAGCTCCGATGGGAGCGGGTCATCCCCAGTGGCACGATCTGGAGCTGTCTTCCTAAATGCATCTTCCAGAGCAAAGAGCGAGGGTAACTCCTGACATTCAATTCGACTCGGGGCGTCAAACAGAGTACACATCTGTCTGGTGACACACGTCCGCAAAAGCTGGGGCATACTTGTGGGCGTACCTGCTTCAAGCTGGCTAAAGTGGTTAACCCATTGGTCTTCTAGTCCTTCCAACTGAAACGGTGGCGTGGTCATGCGTCTTTGTTGGAACCTCGGTAAGGAGCGCCGAACAGTCTTCCATAACTGCTTGACCTGGGCGGGACCCAGATATTCAGTGCACTCCTGGAGCAAGTTATCAAAGAAAGTGACATCATCTTGTCTCAATTTCTTGACAACTAACCTGCCGAGCGTACGAAATCGGTGATATGCAACAGCAATGAGTGAATCTTGTTGGCACAGCAATGCATCAAAGGTAACCAGAAGGTTACTAGAGAGTCCATCCACCAGGGAGTGGCGCCAACATGCAAACCAGGCGGCTAAGAGTCGCTGGGCTTTCTGGTGCGATGCAAGAGCATTGCGTGCTTGCCGCTTCTGGCAGACTATATCCCACGTCTCCTTGGACATAGTGGTCTTGTGCGGCACACCACCTGGTTTGACCTGCACATCCCACAGGCTGTTGATGAGGTCCTGCTGGACTTGGTGGGCATGGGTATGGACATCAAGATGCCATGCATAAGTCGGCAGTTCAGGCAAATGCTCAGGTCTCAAAGGTGGCAAATTCATCTTGAAAGGTTTGGTCCGTGCCTTTAAGTCTTTAACAACTGCTTGTCGTTTAAAGGTGACCACTGGGGCACGGTGATCTTCTTTGTGAAGACCAACATCAATCACAGTGCTAACCCAAGACTTGCATGAATCATAAGTCCACTCCGCAGGGAGACCAACAAAATCATTTCTACACCAGGCTCCATTGTTGTGCAACCAGGTTCCTCCGTCTCCAACATGGCACGTTTCAAATGTGGAAGGGAGGAAAAGGCCCTGCTGCCGGACAAACTGAATGAAACCTTCTTCTTTCCCATTGCCTTTTTCAGCTTGGAAGGGTCCGATATGTGGGCATGGCTCAGCTCCGACTCGAGCATTAGCATCACACAAAAGAATGCGTGGCCAGGTGCCATATTTAGTGGGAATCCGACTGGCAACAGTGCTCCACCAAGCGTCAATTTCAGTCTGTGCAGAACCTGTATGGGGCGCATGTCCTGCAATCAAAATGACCTTGAAAAGACTTGTCTTGAGCCGCAAAATGAGATACCGTGGATCCACAGCAATCACTGCAACATCCTGCTGCTCAATGTACACTTTCTTTGCCACTCCATCTTTATGAAGAAACCCCACTGGACGATCTCTCGTCAATCCAATCAAAACTCCATAATGTCCACCCGATGTCGCAGCAGAACGATAGAGCCAAAATCGGGAATCATGCGCATTGGACAAGCGCTTCAAGCGGGTTTCTTGGAGAGCAAATATGTGGATTTGTTCTTCTGCCATCTGCTGAAAAACACTTTCCTGCCTGGCCGGCCCTTGGAATGCCTGCGGCCCTTTCTTCTTGCATGACACTAATGTCAGAACATTGCACGTTGTAAGTGTCAACATCAGTTCACCGACCTGTTCACGATCCTGTGCCAAATTTGGTGGAGGTGAATCATGAAGGGTATCCGGCAAAGTGGAGGGCGCAGCAGGCAGCAGGAGATCATTAAGGTCCCATTTTACATCATCTCTAAACAGGAACCAAAACCATTCTGCATTGGAAACAAAGGCACGGGCCGTCACATGCGCAATCCATGGTTCCAGGTCCTGGAGTGGGGCCCCCAAAGCAGCTTGGTGTGCCAAGGTGTCCACCAACTCATTACCTGGTTCTCCACAGTGAGCTTTCACATGATGGTATTTCAACTCACTGCGAAATCGACGCTGAATGCACTTGTGGAGACTACGCAATAGATGACCTACAGTTGGCGACGAAACAGCTTGCCACTCACCTGCGGTTTGTTTCCCCACAGTGAGAGAATCATAGCATAAATGCACATCAACCAACGCAGTGTCCTGGACCGCGCCTACCAGTTTCAAAATGTCATATGCAAATTTCATGGCAATGATGCTGGCAGAAGTCTCAGCTTGGTATGAATTCTTGACATTTGAGAGAGCAGTAGACAAAGCTCCAGCAAACATCCATTTGCCTTTCACACAGACAAAGGCTGCGGCTGCTGCTCCTGCTCTGATTCCCTCTGCATTGGAAATGTATGAACCATCAAAATAGATGGAGACACGCGTGCCACCAGCATTCGGCTCCCACCATTCATTGGTCCAGTCATAGCAAATTGGCAAGAAAGGAAATGTCGCAGGAAGATCATAACAAGGCAAAAAGAAATGAGCATCTAACCACTCAAATGCAATAATGACTTGTTTGAATGTAATTCGAACAAACTTTTCCGCCAGCTTGTCCTGCTCCAGCCAAAAACTGACGCAGCTTCCTGGTGCCAAGTTGTGTGCAACCATGTTTAGGTCCCAGTTTCGACCCTGCAAATAGCAAGTGGTGGCTTCAGGGATCGGATCCCCCGAACGTCCGAGCAAATGCTTCCAGAGTTGTTTCGCACAGCTGGGCGACTCTACCAAAGCTGCAAAATGCTCAACTAAGTGCTGGTTGCCAGCGACCAACACTCGTTCCAGCACAATGGCTACCTCAGCATCGGCATTAATTGATGATGTTCTGCCGTCAATCACAAAGCAAACTTCGTCAAGCTCTGAGCCAGATTTGACACATCGACTCATTGTCTCTACCGTAAAGACTTGACATTCGCGACCACCCAAAACGTCAATCCAAAGCTGTTCAGCTTGTTTGACCAAGCAAGCGGATGAGTCAACTTCCTTGGTCTTAGGCATACGGCACACAGGGTGATTCTCATCAACAAACCAAGCAATGAGCAACACATGTGATGGAGGTCGTGTCGAACGCATTCTGTGACCCTTCCTTGGATGTTCACTGGGTTGTTTGACAGTTCTTGAATGCACTTGCAAAAGGCCAAGGCCATCCGATCCAAGTTCCTGGAAAGGCAGCGGAGGATGCCATTCCGCAGGCAAAAAGGCCCTGGTGATCTGCACATAAAAGCAATCACCATCACGTACTGGCCAAAAGGCTTGTGCATCCCAAGCTGCAAGTGCATGACGAATTTGACAGCTAGCCCCATTAAGGTGACATTCTCGCTCATATCCAACACTTTGCAACAGATCACGCTTAGCAATGTTTTCAGGTACATTCACAACAATCCTGTTGGGATGACCGACATTAATAGCGACATCCTTAACCGTGACCAACAGTGCAGACATTGTGTCAAATGGATGCTGAATCAGGATCACATGTCCCACAACACCTGATTCCATCGGTTCAGGAGCAGGTTGCACCAGAACAACTTCAAAAGGGGCTCCCGGATCCATCAAGTCATGCCAAGTCTGTCTTAGGATTTCAAACCATTGCAAAAAGTCGTCAAACAATGTAGCACGCCTGGAAAATTGACATCTGTTGCGACCGGTTCCCGGTGAAACAAACCATGTCGAAAAGACAGCAGCTTTGGACGTCGCTTCTTGTTGGGAAGTTGCTATTGCCCATACAGCGTGCAAATCCTGAATGACTTCTGGTTGCATCTGAATTGGCGTTTGTCCTGGAATAAAAGGTGCAGCCTGTGGGTTGAATTGGAAACACCCCGCAGTTTGCATGAGCGACAAGTCCTCAAAAGGTACAGTGTCAATATCAAAGTCCTCTTGTCGCTCTTCTTGTGGTTCAATCCGTACCCGAATACTCTGGCCAGAAGCGACATCAAACCATTGATCCTCCATGAAAAGATGAGGAAATTGGATGATGGTACATCGCCTCCCAGCACAAAAGTGAGCTATTTCCATAGTACGGATGATATCAGCCAAGTGTGTTCGACTACCAATGGAGAAGGCGCCTTGGATGATACCTTCATTGGTATATCCTTCCAAAAGGGCTGTGAGCACCAGAGCTTCTTGTCCCGGTGTTCTCCCTTGCTCCAAAAGAAAGTGACATGTAGACCGCTGCACTCGGAAGTGAGGAGGCCTTGGTTGAACCAGATAAATTGAAAATTCCCTGTTCGGGTCCAGTCGATCAGCCCAAAGATGGCGGAGATCCTCAATCCATGTAATAGCATGCCCTGACATGCGCATATTTCTTGGTTGATGGCAAATGGGAGCACGCAAATGATCTACATACCAGGTGGTGACTTCCATAGACAAGGTATCAGACCATGGATCAAGGTCACCATGCAGCTGCATCAAATGACCAAATTGAAAACTCCATTCAAACTCTCCATCATGTTTGGGTCTTGCTCTGCGAGGCATATTCGACGTAGGTAATGAGACAGGAAAATCATCTGGCTCCTGAAACTCAGCCGGTTTGCAAGTGACAACCTGCTGGAATAAACTGACATCGTCAGCAATCTGATCAGAGTAGAGGTCAATCGCATGTGGGGAAATCTCAACCACAAGGTGACTACCTGTGTGCAAAAGCAATTGCTCACCAGGTAAATACGTACAACCTTCGTACTGCACCATTGCTGGCCGATGTGAATGTTCATTAGGCACCGCAAGCCTCAGGATCGCACTCACCGCTTCACGAGAACGTAAAACATGTGCAAACAGTCGTGTCAAAACCTGCAATGAGGCTACCCCGCGTAATGTGATGAGGACCCCATGCGCATCGATTGGTAAAGCTTGGTGTACGAGGACATGGACTTCTTGGGCAACTGTTGAATGCTCTTCCTGTTGGGCAGCTGGGGTGCCAGTAAGCACCCCTGGCAGGACAAAGAAGTCAGCTGGTGAAGCCCGTAGCAAGTGATCCCGCCAAGATGTCATGAGTTCAGCTCTCCACACAAGGGGGTCGTCAGAAATTCGAATAATATGTGGGGCACCGCAATGGAAGTGGGGATGAGCATTAAGGTACCAGACAAAAACCACAAGGTAAGGTCCCGCATCCAGTGAATCTCTCCAGTGAAACCGATCAAAATGTTGTTGTAACACTGGTATCCATCCCGGTCTACCGTCTGGAACGACAAACGGCAGCTGCGAGGGAAGTGCTGCGTTGTCAGGATGTAGGAAGTCTGGTTCATTTGGTCTCATATAAATCTCTGTCGAGGCAGAGCGCTGCAATGTGTCACGGAGCATAACATCATCCATTTGCAGCAAGTGAGCAATGTCAATAGCAATTCCTCTGCCAATAACTAGGCGAAACGCCTGTCCCATGTGCACATTAACAACGAGTGTGTCATCAATTGGGAGCCGACCAAACCACAAACTACAATGGTTGTGCCTGTTCACAGGTGGACAATCAGAAGTCAATTGCAGTGCAGCCAAAAGTCTCTCGAGATTAACCCTCCTATGGAGGACAAAGGCAAACGTGTAAGGAGAACGTTCCATGCCCGGATCCGAATCATAGACTGACAACACTGTTGACCTGAGTTCCAAGGAGGCTCTTTGTGTGACAATAAGCTGTCCAATAGTTCCGATGGCAGCATCTTCTGGGGTAGGATCAACAACGTGAAAATCAATCTGCTCTGCATCGCTAACTCTGTCTCTCCATGTGTCCAGAATTACATGCCTCCAGGTCAGAACATCTTCAGACAGCAAGGAGATTCGAGAGGAATGACATCTTGTAAAACTAGCATGATCGAGAAACCAGCTTTCAATCCTTCTTGTCGGCGACATTTGAGCAGGTGCTGTAATCACCTCTTCAGCAAACCTATCAGAAAGTGTACGGAATGCTTCCGGCAAATTGGCCATAGCTAGTTCGTTTGGACCGAGGAACGCTGGTGGCTCCATTCGTGCAGCCTCTTCTGCTGCCGAGATGGCCTCTAGGAACTCGTCTGTGAAACTACATGTTGGTTCTGGCTCAACATCAGCCGGGACTCGATTCTTGCCTGCATCTACCTGTACTAGGCTATTGAGATCCTGCGGTGGTGCATCTTGTATCACTTCCTGCTCAGGCAAAACTTGCAAAATGATTCCCATTCCATTCCACGTTCCAAATTGCGGTGTTAGCTGGTGCGCTTCAGGGTGCTGCCAAACCAAGCTTTCATCCGGAATTCTGGCAAACAAAGGGAACAGGTAACCAATGTCATGCCGAGTACATGGGTTGGGTACAGCAACTGCACATCGAACAATAACTGAAGGAGCCACTGGCGCAAGAAATTCAAGAGAAACCAATGTTGATCTTCGTTCCTGTGCCCTTTGCGATAGCAAAACATGAGCAATGTGCTCTTCAATTTCAGCTCGAGGAGTGAAATGAGAGACAACATCAATGAATAGAGGCTCATCTGATATGACCTGATACCGCCAAGGATGGGTGAGATCCTGTCTCCACTCAGCAGGGTCCCCTCCTAGGAAAGCTATCCTAGGCTGGAAACAGGCAAAATCAGACTGGTGATCGATGAACCAAGTATAAACGGAGAAAAGGAGATCCTCTTCTTCCGGACGGTTAGGAGTGCAACCATTGACATGTTGCTGCACTAGTCGCTGTAAATCCAGGTTCCACTCCTGCAAATGGCGGTCTCCTGAGCTTCCACTACTACTCAAGGTGCCAACTTCAGGATTATGTGCCTGATCCCTCAAGGGATTTTGCATGGCCAGAAAGAGATCACCTTCGTCTGTCTCAGTGTGACTTTCTACCTGCAATTTTGAACCATCGTGAACAATGTTCGTGACGTCCTGCAATGGCTGTTTGAATGCAGCAGTTGAGCCATCAGAGGGAATCTGGAAGGTTGAAAAATGGTCTGCATCAGGGTCTTCCACTTCAATATTCACAGTAGCAAGTTGTCTGACTTCTTCCTCATCCAACAAGCTAGGTGAATAACCTTCGTTACCTTCATGGCCAGCGAGACGGTGGAGAATATCGGTATCAGGAAGTCCGTTTTGTGTCCACTCAACTATCTGCTGAGTTGTGCATGTAAAACGCTCAGTTGGTGGTAAGGCAACTCTGAAATAATCTCCATGTGCAATGCGTCGTGCATGCAGGTCAGTGTCTTGCCATCGTTGATTGCCATGCCAAACAAAACATCGATCCCCTTCCATCTGACAGTAGACATCTGAATTTGCCAAAGTGAGAACTGAAGCTCTGTCAATCCACTCAGGTACTGGCAAAACAAAACGCTGTGTCTTGGGCCCTAACCGGAACCCTGGTTCTGAATTATGGGCGTGCAATTCCACATCAAACAGAACAAGTTTGGCGGTGTGCGCAACAGCCGTGTCAGGGAAAAGATGTACAATGATTGGAACTGCATCAGGTGGAATACCCTTGAGGTCCGCATTGATCTCATACGCATCCACAACATTCTCCACTATGGTAGCGTAATGTCCAGCAATCTCATTGATCATATTGTCATAACTGCTCCAATCCAAGAAAGCTCTCAGGGGTGGATCATGAATGTGAAACATGATAACTTCTTGTCTTTCATTTGCAGAGCTCGGTGGGTGTATTCCAGAACTTGCTACTGAGCTCGGCCCCTCCTCAGATGCGGAATCTGAAATACTAGTATCACCTTCCTGATTTGCAGTTGGAATATGGGCAGTGCCGGTTTGACCACTCGCAATAGCATCCATGAGATTGGCTTCATTTCCATTATAGATATCATGTTTGGATTGAATTGTTTGAACAAATGAGGAGGCCTCAACATCAATTTCCTCATCTCGGCTCAACACGGCCACTTGTGACAGCGGAGCCTGAGAAGTGGTTGGATGGTGGCTAATCTTTCGTATGCGCCTTCCGCTCCAAGGTTTCTCTGGCCAATTCACAAGAGCAATCTGCGCAACTTGCAAGCAACTCATTTCCATTGCATCATCATCACCGAGCAAAACATCAATCTGATCCTCAAACCTAACTCTTCTCTGTACAAGGTTTTTGGGATGGGACCTTTGAGATGGATCTGGAGTGCGAAGTGCTGAAATGAGCTGTGCAGGATTGTGATAAAATGGCTGAGAATAGAGAAGGTCAAACCCAACTTCCCATTGGAGACTCAAGGCATTCAAGCTAGCTTGAAACGGACTAATGTATCGGATTTCATCCATGATGGAATGCTTCCAAGGCAAAAGGCAACGTGAGAAATCGCCCCACCAATCGCATGCTGCACCAAATGGCTCACTGGCAATTTGATAGGCCTCAACGATTGATGCATTAGGCTGCACAGTACAGGCCTCATGTAATGAATTCCTTTGAACTTCATTGACACGGCCGACAATCACTGCTTGGATGACGGTCCAAATGGCTCCAAAGCCCTTGGCCGTTTTTGACGCTGTGTGTCGTCCTCCGCAACCTCTGTATCTTGAATCTCGACAACCTTTTGTGGGTCGAACTCCAATCCCAACGAGCTTGCACAGTTTTGGAGGATTCCCTGAAGCTGTTTCCTCAGAGCTTCCTCCTCTTTGTCCACCTGATCTTCGGGTGCTTCTTCCGCCTCTGCCTGTGGCGGTGGGGGAGCTTGAGATCCTCCTGCTGTCGCACTGCTCAATTGTTGGATAATTCGACTTGTTGCCGTGACTTCTGATCTGGCCTTGCCCGCCAGTTCTGTTAACGTGGCCTGATGTTTCCGATAGTCTTCGAGTTGCTTCTCCCAAAGCTTGATGCCGTTTGCGAGGTGGGCCATCCATAGGGATCTGTGTGCCCTGCGCTGGTCGGCAACTTCGCCAAGGTGTTTTTTGACCTTCCCCAAATGCTTGGTAGCTTGGTGTAGGCTCTTGATTCCCATTCTTCCAGTTTCCTGCTCTGTTTTGGCAATGAACTGTTTTGTTTCTTCCGGCATTGTATTCGGATCTGGATAAGCCTTCCGAAGATGGTCGAGAAATTCCTGTTTCTCGTTGCTCGAAGTGGCTGGCAAATGGGTTCACAGGTGGCGCCGAGATGGATCCAAACTGAGAAATGTCCATAGGTGTCCAAGGAGCAAAGCTCTCCCCTTGCTGGAAGGGTGAAACATGCTCCACTTGGCTGCCTTTGTTCTGAGACAATCCCTTTGTAGGACCTTTCTTCCCCTTCCCCTGTCCTTTCCCTTTGCCTTTCTTGAAGGGCTTCTGTTGGCCAGGCTGGCCATCGCCATCCAGCCGATACTTTGTAGACGTCCGGCTGGTCGATCGACTTGATGCCCAGCTCGCATTGTCTTCCCAATCGTCCCACGTGTATGCATTCCACTCGTGGGCTTCTTGATTCTTTGGCCGAGTGGGGTGACGAGTGCCATCTGTCCACTTTCCCCAACAGATTGCACATGTTGTCGCCCATTTCTTGTTGATACGCCCGCAGCTGCATTTCCACGGGTAATAGGTATCGTTCGGATCTTCCTCGTTCAGGTTCATGGCTTTGTTGATCTGGGTAAGGAAAAAATAGTCCTTGCTGTGATGCTGACTTAAAATTTTCCAAATTTTCCTCAAGGCAGGTTTGGCTAAATTGATCCAACCCTTCTTGTGCAAAAACCAGTTGCGTCTGGCTTTGGCTCTGTCTCTGCGCGCTTTCCTTCGTGTAGTCGTACTGAGTGGTGGAATCCTTGATGAATGTAAAAAGGATTGTAAATCCCAGAAACACGTGTAGGAAGCTGCACATAAAGGTGCACTAACCAAATTGGATGTCCCAGTGATACGCACACTGGCAGAAGCGAAAGCAGTTAAAGACAATCAAGGTACGAGGAGGCTGAATACCAGGGCGAACCAATCCAGTAAATGCCAAGCTCACACTCAAAGAAAGTCAATACCGTAATCCAAATATACAATCCACCAAAGGTCCGCAAACAGCTGAGGTGAAGAAAGAAAATGAATTGCAAATATCAAAATAATCACTGAAAAGAACCCTTGCGGAAGCTGACAGTGGCCAATCAAATGGCAGCAGAGCACAGCTCCAAGGTAAGGCCAAAGCGATAAGCCAAACCCGTGGGTTAGGTTCCGCAGCGAAACCCACTAAGGCTAATGAATTGCTCGCGCCCCAGAGAAGCAAAGAAACAAAAAAAACGAAAAGAAAGAAAACGCAGAAAAGCGGAGAAAGCGGAGAAGCAGGCAAGCAGGGAAAAGTGGAGAAGCAAAGAAACACAGAAGCAGAAAAACTGAAAAGCAAACAAGGAAATGCAGAAAAGCAGAGCAGCTGGGAAGAGAAATGCAATCTAAAAAATAAACCGAAAAAAAAAAAACATAATTTCCGAAGAAAGAAACCCTCCATTTTCTTCGTTCAATCACCTTTCGCCCAAAAAGAAATCGGACTTCTCAAGGCAAGGCGCAGGTATTGTGCCGGAATCTGCCAGCCGCCCCTACTGCAATTGTAGACACTGATGGCAAGAAATGGCGGGGGGAACGATGCTGATCGAGAGAGATAGTCGATGCGCTCGAAGGCTTCCAAGCAGGCCTGATGTGTATAATTGATTTTTTCTTGTTACCAAGTCTAGGTGTTTTTTCCAATTCACACAGCATTGCATAAACAGAACGCAGCTGAGGCGCTAGATTTTTGAATTTCTGAAATAGGATTCTTTTGCGGCAACTCCGAAACTTTCCGCATTGCGTCGGGCAACCGCAATCCGCACAAGAAAATAAAGTCTCGTCTTCGCAATTTGGGCAGTCACAATAGTTATCGTTCCGGTACCTTGGTCGGCAAAGGGAAGATGAACTGAGATGATTTTTTTATTGGGGTTTGTTTCTTGAGACGAAACAAACCATGTGCCTCATCAGTCAGGCCACCGATAGGGGATGGTCCAGTTGCCGCAGATGAAATACGGAGGATAATCGCGCAGATCAATCTGAATGTTAGTTCGGCACCTCAAACCGACAGCGGGTCACTGTGTTCAACCCTGCCAGTTCTGTCACATGTTCCACTATGTCGGCCGAAACTATATATACTTGATGTTCAAGGATGTTCATGGACGGTTTGCCGAATTGTTTTCTTAAAATTTCTTTATGTTGACAACAAGTGTGCCAACGCACATTCTGTCTACAATCTACAAAATCTACAAAACCCTTGGCTGCGGAACTGAAAAAAATTGCCATCGGTTGCTTCACTTTTTGTTGAAAACAAGACAGTCTAAAACCGGCCAAGCCTTATCTGACATTCTATCTGACAATTCGTAAGTATGTATATTGTATATATACACGTGCGTATGTAACGGGTTACGTCGCAACGCCAGGGGTATAAGTAGAAACTGAACCAAATATACATATATATGACATCGCGTAAACGAGAATGCAGCACTGAACTGAAGGTGGATTCAAACACAGCAACTCCGAATGTCTGTCTGTATGCCGTTCACTCCCTTTTTTCCTTGATGACACGCTGGGGAATCTCAGTCGCTATCGGAAATGGCAACGTGTTGCCTTCACCCACCAGGGCTTGTTGAGTAAGCCTCTGTTTTTGTAATGGGTTTTTCATTTTGGACCTTTCGGGTTTTTTGTTCAAAGGACCTCGAAAGTTTTCGGATCCACAGCATAGCTTGGGGCGTATACTATGTTTTCTTGGTTTGTTGCCCCCCCGGGTGGGATGCCCAAGGCATCAAGAGGGTGGGCTGAGAAAAGGAAACAACCCTTGAGATTGGACGGCTACACGTGTTATATAGGGAAACGAAAACGCTGAATGATGGACATGTCAACTGACGTTTCACAGTTGTCTGTTGTTTAAACAAACTGATTCTGTAAACACGTTTGTTTCTGACATGTGTGCAGCCTTTTGGTTTCTGGTGAAACCAAAAGAATCGTGTTTGGTTTGTTCGTTTGTGCTGGTTTGGTTTCAGTGCTTGCTGCATTGGTTACGCGTTATAGATATGGAAAAGTTGATATTCTACCTGGCCAGTCTTGTAAAAATATTTCCTGGCAAACCCGTTAACTGTTAGTTTCCTGACAGGTTCAGGTTATTAAACAGATAGGGTTTTCGCTTCGAAACTTCGCTGTCCTGTTTTAGACATTGCGATCACTACGTGAAAGCACTCGTCTAAAACCGGCCAAACCCTATCTGACATTCTATCTGACAATTCGTAAGTAGGTATATTGTGTATATATATATATATACACGTGCGTATGCAACGAGCACTGGACTGAAGGTGGATTCAAACACAGCAACTCTGAATGTCTGTCTGTATGCCGCTCACTCCGGCCGGGGGTTCATTTGGACCCCCCCAAAGCCCCTCATTTGGACCCCCCCATTTTAGGGGGCGAGAGGGAGGCGAGAGGGGGCGAGAGGGGGAGAGGGGGGGTCCAAACGAGGGGCTTTGGGATAGGGGGGCGAGAGGGGGCGAGAGGGGTTAGGTGGGGGCGAGAGGGGGCGAGAGGGGGGCCACAGGGTCAGAAGAAATTTTAACATGGGTGGGGGGCGAGAGTGGGCGAGAGGGGGTGGAGGGGGCGAGAGGGGGGCGAGAGGGGGACAGGGTCAGAGGAAATTTTTATCATGGGATACGACCCTTTAGGGTGGGGGGGAGGGGAACATCCATGGAATCAGGAAGAAAAAAAATTATCATGGGATACGACCCTTTAGGGTGGGGGGGGACATTCATGGAATCAGGAAGAAGAAATTTTATCATGGGATACGATCTTTTAGGGTGGGGGGGAACATTCATGGAATCAGGAAGAAGAAATTTTATCATGGGATACGACCCTTTAGGGTGGGGGGGGGCATTCATGGAATCAGGAAGAAGAAATTTTCTCATGGGATACGACCCTTTAGGGTGGGGGGGGGACATTCATGGCATCAGGAAGAAGAAATTTTATCATGGGATACGACCCTTTAGGGTGGGGGTGAACATTCATGGAATCAGGAAGAATAAATTTTATCATGGGATACGACCCTTTAGGGTGGGGGTGAACATTCATGGAATCAGGAAGAAGAAATTTTGTCATGGGATACGACCCTTTAGGGTGCGGGGGGGGGAACATCCATGGAATCAGGAAGAAAAAAAATATCATTAAAAACGACCCTTTAGGGTGGGGGGGGGGACATTCATGGCATCAGGAAGAAAAAAATTATCATGGGATACGACCCTTTAGGGTGGGGGGGGAACATTCATGGCATCAGGAAGAGGAAACTTTATCATCGGACACGAGAATCAGGAAGAAGCAATTTTATCATGGGACCCTTTAGGGTGGGGGGGGCCTTCATGGAATCAGGAAGAGGAAACTTTATCATGGGACACGAGAGGGGGTGGCTTTGGGCCCCCCCCAATATAGGGGTGGGGGGGCGGGAGAGATGGACTGTTAGGAACTATGCGACAAAGGGCCTTTAACAGAAATGAAAAAAAAAGATCTGGAGAGAGATAAGAAACATTCATCATCCATCAGGTTATAGCCATAAGAAACATTCATCCTCCATCAGGTTATAGCTCATCGTGCATGATAACTTGCTGCTTGCATTCATCATCCATCAGGTTATAGCTCATCTTGCCGCTGGCTTCTATAGCACAAACTTCCCCCCTGCATTTCCACAAACGCTTCTCTGCGCACTATAGGCTTCCATTTGCATCTGCACAAGCACAGGGTTTGTTATGTGAACTTACTTCGAAGCCTTAAATCAAAGTTCGAACCTATCTGATTTGAAGTTCGGCCATGTTTAACGTCAATTAGCGTTTCAGGCACTCCAGGTTTCAATGTACACTTTTGGACGCCGAAACGCTGGTATTTACGCAGTTTTTTGCCCGTGGCGGCGCCAAACCCTTATAAATTACAGCATTTTCTTCCCTTTTTGAACCGATTTTTTTTGCCTCGATGAACGCAAAAAACGCTGGTATTTACGCGTTTTTCAAAAAATCGAAGATCGTGACGTGAACGAAACCCTGTAAATAACAGTGTTTTAGCCACTTTCGGGGACTAAAACTGTGGTATTTACGCGGGTTCCTGTCATTTGACAGCGCAAAATGCTGTAAATTACAGCACTTTGTGCGCCGTTTTATGTTCAACTTTTATCCGCGCGATGCTTTCACATGTTCTTGGCATTCTTCCACAAGAAACAACGTTGCAGATTGAAACTGGACCACGGCGTGACCCGAAAGAAAGCTGGAGGGAGGAGACGCACAGAAGCTTTTACACTCACAGGGGCTTTTCTACACCGAGAAGTCTTTACAAAAAGGAGCTTTTTACACACAGATTGTTTTACACAGAGAAGCCTTTACTCCAAGGAGCTTTTGCACACAAACGTCTTGGGGCTTTTACACACAGAAGTTTTTACACGAAGAAGTCTTTACACAGAGGGTTTTTTTACACACAGACGTGTTTGCACACAGAAGCTTTTACACAGAGAAGCCTTTACACAGAGGAGCTTTTACACACAAAAGCGTTTACACACGGCAAGCTTTTACACACACAGGGGCTTTTACACAGAGAAGCCTCTACACAGAGGAGCT